CTTTACCACTGAACTATATCCCCTGCCATTTTTATTATTTTTAAGTTTTTATTATTAACATTTTTTAGTTGTTGATAGAACTATATTTATTTATATGTGGTGCTGAGAATTGAACCCTGTGCTTCACACATGTTAGGCAAGCACTCTACACTGAGCTACAATCCCATCCTGCCCTTTTTATTTTTGATACGGGTTTCACTAAGTTGCTTAGGGCCTCACTAAGTTTTTTACTTAATAATTTTGTTTTATTTATTTATTTTATTTTTAAATGTGCTGAGGATGGACCCCAAGGCCTTGCCCATGAGAGTGCTCTATCACTGAGCCACAAGCCCAGCCCCCTCACTAAGATTTAAAGGCTGGCCTTGAACTTGAAATCCTCCTACCTCCACCTTCAAGTCTCTGGGTGTGTACCACTGTGCCTGGCTCTCTTGCCCATTTTTCTACATAGTCTTAGGTTTTTTCTTACCCATATAAAACAAAACAAAACCCAAAAAACTCTCTAATCCTTTATGACAGATTTTCCAGGTCATCTGCTCATTTTTTCCAGGTTTATCATATGTCATAAACTCTGCCCTAGTATTTTTTGTCATAATGTATAGGGAGCCAAGTTGATCAAATCTTTTCCTTTAATTTGTCTACAGTTTGAGTCAAAGGTTACAGAGGAATTTCCCAGAGTGCTAGGCCAGAGGCCTGACTCTGGGGATCCAAAACAATCAGGTCCAGTTACTCGCCCCCAAAAACAAACAGAAAAGGTAATGGTGAAAAGCACGAAAGGAATTTTAATCAGTATAGCTGGAGAGACAGGGGGGCCCACTTGTTCTTAGTCCTCTCTTTGAGGGACTGACAATAACTTCAAGGTGTTATTGAAAGGGGAATGAGGGCCAGGGTTGGGGGTTTTCACAGCCGCTAAACCAGGTAAGTTTGATCAGATATGGTATGTCCACTATTATCTCAGGATTAGTGACCGGGGCCTTGTCTGAGATAGAAAGTTGCTGTTATCTGAAAGGGAGGGAATAGCTTCAAGTCAAGACAGTAATTGATCAGACTTTGTTCCTGGTAACCCAGATGACTCAAAGCAGAGGAGACAGATGCAAAATGGAGGCAGAGAT